AAAAAAAAAACTAAAAAAGGCTGGGCGAGGTGGCTCATGCCTGTAATCCTAGCACTGTGGGAGGCTGAGGCAGGCGAAGCACCTGAGATCAGAAGATCAAGTCACTTTACTACAGCCTGTGCAACAGAGTGATGTCTCCGTCTCAAAAAAAAAAAAAAAAGTCCTTAGAAGAGAGCTTGATCTATAAATAGCACTCAATAAAGGTTCATTTTTATTAATATTATTATTATTGTTATAACTGGGGCAGTATAGCCTAATGGTCAAAAGCCTGGGCTCTGGGACCAGACTGCCAGGGTTCAAATCCTGACTCTGCTTCTTACTAGCTGTGTGGCCTCAGGCAAATGACGGCACCTCTCTGAGCCTCTGTAAAATGGAGATGGGAATACTCAGACCCTCTGGGCGGGGGGGTTGCTGGGAGAGGAAATGAGTTAAAGTCCGTAACATGCTTGGATGAACACACAGCCAGCACTGCCCAAGTGTTGGTGATTTTCTGGAAACCCTACATCCTCTCTACTGCATGGCCCTGCCAATTGCCAACTTCTCCTTGAGCCTAAATTTAAACTGTAAAGGGAACGCGCTCAGCCAGGGGACCAGAGTCAGAAGCCACTGCATCGTCCTCGGCTGGATTTCCTAGGTGTCCATCCCACTTCTCTGGCCCCCTCCCGGATGGCTGAGATCCCATTTTCCCTGCTGTCCTCGCATGGCCTCCCTCTGCTGTGAGTGGGGCATTTTCTGTGGCTCCTCCCTGTACAGATGGCACCAGTGCTTTCTGGGCCAGAGTGAGGGAGGGAGTGGGGCTGGATGCTCCCCCCGCCCGCCCTGCCCCAGCTTCCCTGCAGGAGGAGCTGGGACAGGGTTCCCTTCTCATTCCTTCCTTCCTTGCTTCCTTCCTTCCTTCCTTCATTCATTCATTCTTTTCAACAGACTTCTTTATTTTTTTCAAGAGACAGGGTCTTGCTCTATTGCTCAGGCTGGAGTGCAGTGGTGCAATCATAGCTCACTGCAGCCCGGAACTCCTGAGAGCAAGCAATCCTCCTGCCTCAGCCTCCCGAGTAGCTGGGACTACAAGTATGCACCACCAGGCCCAGTGAATTTTTTACTTTTTTCTTTTTTTTTTTTTTTTTGGTGGAGATGAGGTCTTGCTGTGTTGCCCAGGCTGGTCTTGAACTCCTGGCCTCAAGCAGTCTTCCCACCTTGGCCTCCCAAAGTGCTGGGATAACAGGCATGAGCCACACTCCGCCCGGCCTCCACAGACATTGTTAGTGCATCTCATGTAGTGGGCGCCTGCTGTGCTAAATTCTTTATCCAGACATCACCTTGATGCCCTGGAAAACCTCAAGGACAAATGCATCCTGGCTACCCACAGCAGCTGGCCTCAGAAACCACTCTGAGTGGATGCACCCTGGATAAAGCCCCATTATTGGAATTCTTGCCCCTGCTCCTGGAGCTCAGTGCCCAAACGGCTTTAGGTAACACGGCATGCCATAGGCAGTCTGCAGATCTGAAGGCCAGCCACGACTCTGCAGGCTGGATTTCTCACTCGCCTCAGACGCTGCTGTGCCTCAAGGCATTTTCCACTCAGGTTGTGTGCGTCCAAAATAGGATTACCGTCCCCGTGGGTCCCCATCTGCCTGCTCCTACCATAGGTGGGCCACCCCCAACAGCTTCCCAGTAGCTTCGCCACCTCTCCCAGGTCAGTGAGGTTCTCACCATCATGATCCTCCTCCAATGGAAATGAAATGGCTAATTCCTCAGGAGTCATTACCAGGAGGCAATATAGGTTGATGGCCAATACTGAAACTGCAGCAAGATTGTGGATGAAAATAAGAAGTTTG